GAAGCAGCAGGGGGCGGCCGAGAGCAGGGATGAGCGGACATGTCCGTCGCGTGGAGGACCAGTGTAGGCCGGGCCACGCTTGATGCGAGTTCGCATTATTGGTTTCAGTGTTCACCAAGAGGATCAGCCATGTGAGCACGATGGCGAGCGCCTTCCAGCTCAGCAGGGTTTGCGGCCCCTCCGACTGCAGCGACGCCAACGGTACAGATCAGCGAAAGCGACGCCAATAGCACCAGTGGTGAGGGGATCGGGTGTTCTGGGCTTCTGGCGCACTGGGACAAGAGGCGTGAGCAGCGCCAGCGGACACCCTGTTTGCAAATCAGATACTTACTTTGCGACGCCAGGGAGCCGACCCACATCTCTGGGCACACAGTGGGTCTGAGCCCTTGCCTTCCCAGACCTCCGACGTCGCTTGTGTTTCAGTGCGTTGACCGCGAACCTCTCGACCCCTCACCGGGGACCAGCTTCTCATCCTGGGCCGGTTTTGCTGACAGCCCCGACGCCCACAGCGGGCACCCAGAGACCGACACCGTGGAAAGACCAGCCTCTGTGCGTTTCGTGTGCCTCCTCGTCCTCCTCCTCCTCCTCCTCCTCCTCCTCCTCCTCCTCCTCCTCCTCCTCCTCCTCCTCCTCCTCCTCCTCCTCCGCAATTACTCAATGAAAATACTCTCCCTCTTCCCTGATGACGTCTTGGGAGTATTCGCCCCCCCCCCCCACCGCGTACTGCGTTTTTGCACACAGGTTTCCCCGGAGTTGGGTGTTCGCTTGCATTTTTTTTCCAAAATGCTGCTCTCGCTGAGGCGCCGGCCTCATTTTCGGGCCCCGCTCGTTCCGAATCGTGCTACCGCTGCAGCGCTGGCATCATTTCCGCCGGCGCCCGGGCTGCACGCGTCCGAGCCGGCGCCTGGGCCAGGTCCGGAGCCGGTTCTGACCAGCGCCAGAAAATCGAGTTCCTAGGCGGCGCCGAAAAAAAGGCCATTCTAATCATTTTTTTTAAATGCTGAATTTCTTCTCCCGGCGCCCGGGAGGCCTCCCGGGCCGATTCCGACGCCCCCGGCGCCCGAGCCGGCGCCCGGGCTGGACGCCCGAGCCGGCGCCCAGGCCGGCGGCCAGGCCGGGTCCGGAGCCAGTTCTGGCCGGCGCCGGAAAATCGAGTTCCGAGGCGGCGCCGAAAAAAAGCCATTCCAAAACAACTTTTTCTTTTGAAAATGCTGAATTTCTGCTTCTGGCGCCCAGAGGAAGCCTTCCCCGGAGTTAGGTTTTCGCTTGCGTTTTTTTCCCAAAATGCTGCTCTCGCTGAGGCGCCGGCCTCATTTTCGGGCCCCGCTCGTTCCGAATCGTGCTCTCGCTGCAGCGCTGCCCTCATTTCCGTGCTTCCGCTCGTTCCGAATCGTGCTCCCGCTGCAGCGCTGGCCTCATTTCCGCGCTTCCGCTCGTTTCGACTCGTGCTCCCGCTGCAGCGCTGGCGTCATTCCCCGTGCCACGGCATGCAATGCAATGCCAGGTTGATACTACGCTTCGCGGTGCTCTTCTACGCCATGCCACGCATTTCTCTACAATGCATCGCGTACCCTTTCGGGATCATCGCCCTGGACATCCGACTGTGCGAGTAGAGAGGGGATCTGCGCCATGGTAAGGGATGGGAGGGAGGGGTAGGATGTCAGATATGACGCGAGCGCACCTAGCTTGTCCCCCTCCCCCTCCCTCTCCTCCTCCTCCTCCTCCTCCTCTTCCTCCTCTTCCTCCTCCTCCTCCTCCTCCTCCTCCTCCTCCTCCTCCTCCTCCTTGGCGGCTCTGCAGATGCCTCCAGGTCTCCGGAGCTCTCCCGAGGCCGTCGGAGGGCCAACAGCTGGCTCACACGGCCACGAGCTGCCGGGAGCTTCGGCACTCGATCGCCGAGTCTCCCCCCTTACCAGCCTGGAACATATCCCTATCCCTATGCTAGGCACCTCCTCATCACGATGCCAATCTTAGGGATTCCCTTATTTTTTGAGGGCGAATCCCTAAGATTGTCATCGCCTTTTGGCGTGTCAATTTTAAGGATAGGGATACGTTCGAGGCTGGTAACCCCTCCCTCTCCGTCGGGGGCGGTCCCCAGCTGCCCCCCGCGGGCTCCTGCACAGCCCTGGCGCCGACCCACCGTGGGGGGGCCTTCGGAGGCCCAACGGGCCCGAATCGTTTGAGAGCCAGCAGGAACGCGATCCTCGATCCTCGTCGCTCCCTCGCCCCTCGTGGGCGCAAAGCATGTCCGTGCCCGCGGCCCCGCGTGCAAGGCCCCCCGGCGGCAGCCCCGCGGATGGGGGGCGTGGCTGCTCGCGGAGGCGCCGCGCGGAGCTTCTCCCGGCGACCGCGCACCCGCGGCACCGCGCCACGGGGTCCAGACCGCGAGGCTGCGGCTACGGATGTGCGTCGCCGCTCGCGAGCCCCATCCGGGGCGACGCCCCGCGGGATCCCTCGAGGCCCCCTCGCCGGGCCGAGGCCGTCGCACGGAGGGGCAGTTCTCTCGAGCGCCCCCTTGGCGGCCCGCCGTCCGGCCACGGGCGACCCACCGGGAGGGCCGCCGGGCTCGACCCCGGCCCTGAGGCACGCTGAGCGGGCGTCTGGCCCGCGTCTCCTCACACCTCCCCTCCTCCCCATGCCTGCGCCAGAGGACAAGATTCCAGGCCTCCCAGATGGGGTCGGAGCAGGTGGGGTCGAAGGATCGCGCCGCATCGCCGATGCAGCGGCGATGCGGCTCGGTGCGGAGCCCGATTTGCTTCACGTCGACGTCGCCGATGCATCGCCGACGTCGGCAATGCGTCGCCGTTGCATCGCCGATGCATCGCCGATGCATCGACGATGCATCGCCGATGTATTGGCGATGCGGCGCGATCCTCCGACCCCATCCACTCGGACCCCATCGAGGAGGCCTCTAAACATGAAGGCACGGCATCAACGTCGAACGTTAAGGAGGCAGGGCGCTGCGTCCATGATGGGCGGGCACACGCTGGCTAAAAGACGCATGACTCTAAACATGAAGGCACGGCATCAACGTCGAACGTTAAGGAGGCAGGGCGCTGCGTCCATGATGGGCGGGTACACGCTGGCTAAAAGACGCATGAGGGGGTCCTCGGTAGCGGAATGGTTCTTGGTCGACGGCGATAGGCACGGCCCAACGAACGCGTTGGCAGCTGACGTGGGGCACGGCGAAGCGGACTGCAGTCGAAATCGGCGATAAGGATGGGACCCCTTCGCAAGGGCACCCTGGCATCCTTGCCCCTTCGGCCCATCCCTAGCCACTCTCGATTGCCAGTCCCGCTCGAAAAGCTTCGACATGGGCGTCCCAGGGCCTTGCATCCTTCTTGCGCATCCTTAGTGCAAGTTTTTTGCCCGGTAAGGGCCCCTAAAGAGGCCGAGAACCGCGACAGACCTCCGCCGCGATTGTTTCAAGACGCTGGATCTCTGGGTTCTCTTCGCCCCCCGCTGGGGTCGCCCCCCGTGAGCACCCGCCCGGAGCCCTCCCGCGCGTCGGGGTCCTCGCGCTGGCTGCCCGCGGCAGCGCCGCGCCCCCCCCCCCGAGCCGCCGGGCCGTGCTCCAGGGCCACAGGGGCACAAGAGCAAAGCCACAGGCCGTGGCTTTGCTCTTTCCTCCCCTGCCTCCTCCGGCTCCCGGCTCTCTCTCCCCTTTCGTTCCTCAGTCCGCCTTGCCGATACTTTGGCAAAGGAGGCTCTGTGTGCCAGTGATGGGCTGGAGGGCCCTTGCCGGTGCCGGCGTCGGAACATAGTTGGCGGCCTCCTGCAAGGTGGACGCCTGACCTCCATTGGTTCGAAACCTGTCCAGAGGAAAACAAAAACAGGGCCATAGGGGCTCAACCTGGCCACAGGGGCGGAGAGGAGGGGGGCGGCCGCTCAGGAGGGGAAAAACACACAGGCAGACACGAGTCACCGCCGGCTCCCAGGACAATGTGGGATCGATATGGAAAAATAGGGGGGAACACGACGGCCCAGAGTATATATATATATATATATATATATATAATGGGGAAAGATGGGGAATGCTGGGGCTTGGCTTACTTCTGTGTCCCAGGGCCCCGGGTAAGAAAAGGGCAAGTGGGGGGGCGGCATCCTCAGACGCAGAGGCCCTTCCTCACGAGGAGCGCGCAGGCAGCCTCAGGCACGGGGGGCCGGGAGAGGGGGTTCGGTAGCAAATCGTGGGAGCCGGTTGTACCCTCCCACTTCCGATTGTAGCGTCGATCAGCGCCGATGAGCGCCCGGAAGTCGACGAGATAGCGCCGATTTAGCGCGTCGGCTAGCGTCAAGCAGTGCCGATGTAGCGTCGAACAGCGTCGACTTAGCGTCGATTGAGCGTCGACTCGCAGGAGCCGACAGGATGGTACGGGAGGCTCCCATGAGTTGCCACCGAAGGAGGGCGGCCGCAGAGAGAAGGGAGGGATAAGTCGGCCGTGTCCCCCTGCAGGCGGGTTTTGGGCGCAAAAGGAAGAGGAACCAAAAAATGCCCCAAACTGTTCAAATATAGTAGGAAAATCGTCCCCTGACGATGTGTTAATTACCATTTGGGGATATTCCTCCTGTAGAGGGACAGGCCCGACTTAAAGGAAGGGGAGGGATGCCTCAGACGCAGAGGCCCTTCGCCACGAAGAGCGCGCAGGCAGCTTCGGGCACCGGGAGCCGGTGTACACAGCGGAGGCCCAGGCCAGGAAACGCCCTGCTCGCCTCCAGGGTGCCCTGGGCTTCTCGGGTTTCGATGGTCTTGCCGCGGCGAGCGCGACGCCCCCACATCAGAAATCAATGGGCATCCCGGGGACTCCGGGCTGGGATTCTTGCGGGAGGTTGCTCTCTGGAGGTAAAAAAGGGGCATGGTATAAAAGGAGTGTGGTGTCAATTTCATGTAAAGGGGACTCTGGCGATTTTATTTATCGCAGATAGCATCGCCATTTCCACGATTGGCACCGTACCCCTTGATGCCACACCCCTTTCCGACCTCCAGATTATTGTGGATTGGCCTCCACTGTACTCGCAGGGTGTGCGGGACAATGCGTGCAAGCCTGGAGGCACCGGCGAGCGCTCAGGTGTCGCGCAGTGCGGCTCTCCCTGGCGGGAGGAGGCCTGAAAAGGGACCAGACAGGGTCGCCCACGCTGCGATTCGATGCGACTCGATTCGCGGGCTGGGCCCGCGATTCCGATGCGATTCGGCTTGGCCTGGTTCACAAGCCTTGCCTGGGGCCCGCCGGAGCTGGGCGCGCGGCGACCCGCTTCCGACTGGATTCGGGGCGCCGCGCCGGCGATCCGCTCCATTCCCGGTCCGATCCGACGTCGCGAGTCGGCAAAGCTCAGGCCTGCCAGAGCTGTTCAGGAGGGGAAGAGACACACAAACGCAGTTGATCGCCGATTCCCCAGAAAATAAGAGGAAAATATGGGAAGTGGGGGGGGGGGGAAGTCGACAACCCAGAAGATATGGGAAAATATGGGCCTGTTATGTGTGTGTGTCGATTTACTTGTGTGTCCCAGGGCCCCTTCGGCCTTGCTGTCCTCTGCCGTCGGGTCCGGCGGCGGCGCGGAGGCGCGCAGCGCCGGTCGTCGCGGCGCCCGAGGCGGGTGCCCGAGCGCAACGGGAGGGGACGGGCGGGAGGGGTCGGATGTGAGGTGCGGCGCGAGGGCACCCGGCTTGTCCTCTCCCTTCTTGTGCTTCTCCCCGCTCTCCTCCCTTTGGGCGCCACCTCAGTGAGCCAGCCCTCGACGACCCCCCAGAAGTCCTCGCACTGGCGAGGGCCGCGATCGGAGTCAAGGGCAGTCCAGGCGAAGCCAGGGCTAACTCTTGGCGGAGTCTGGCAGCCACTTGCGCTCGCGTGGAGCCTGTGCAGACACGTAAGCTCCCGTGGACCCCCGCGCAGACGAAAGATCTAGGAGGCCAGCGGCAGCGGCGCGGCAAAGGGCAGAGGAGAGGTGGGGAGCAGAACGGAGCAAAGCATACCCTTCCCCTCCTCCCCCTTCCCCTCCTGCCCCGTCCCCTCCTCTGGAGGAGGAGGGAGCAGAGCGGAGAGGAGGGGAGGAGACCATCAAGGAGGCGGTCAAGCTGAGCTCTGCCGCGAAGGTGTTCTTCATCGTGGGGCCGCAGGGGCCCTCAACGACCAGTGCGGAAAATTGAAGCCCATACCCCTGCCGCCCTCTCTCAATCCCTCTCCTATCCTCCTCCTCCTCCTCCTCCTCCTCCTCCTCCTCCTCCTCCTCCTCCTCCTCCTCCTCCTCAACTTGTCCGCGCCCTCCCCCCCCGCTCCTCCTATGAGTACGCTGTGTGCTCGCCGGTCTTGGTCTGGGCCCCGCTGCTTCCCGCCCGCCTGGCGGAGTGCCAGCTGCGCTGGGCCCGAGGCCCGAAGGCGCCGCCATACTGGGCGGAGCGCAGCTGCCGGCTCGCTTGCCCCTCGTTTCCCCTTGCGGATGGGTGGGGGGGGCTGCCGGTCGCGGCAGCGAAGGGGCCAAGGGCAATCTGGACGAGCTCTGGGCGGCTCGGGTCGGAGCGGAGCTCGCCGGAAGCAGGGGGCAAGCGAGCGGACGGTGGTTCCTCGTGCGCGTGAGTGGTGAGCGTTCCGCTGTGGTGGGCGCCCTTTGCTGCGCCACCTTGGAGGCTCATCTCGGGAGAAGGACATTTGCTTACCTGCATGCGTTCCCCCAGCCGGGGCCCCCTCGACGAGCGAAGTCGTCCACGTTGCTTGTATGAGTGCGCTGCCTTCGGTCGCCACCGCGCGCGTTTCACGGGGCGCAGGTCGGCATTGCTCGTTAGCCCCCCCTCCCCCCCCCCCCGCGGCCTCCTCAAAGAGCGAAGTCTGCGTACCATTCCTTCTGGCCTTGCCTCGGGATTACCGCAGCGCGCGCTTTACGGGTCGCTGTTGTGATGTGTTGGTCTGTATCCCCAAAGTTGGCACCCTCAAAGGCCGAAGTATGTATTAGTTTTATCTGATTTGCCTCGCGCTGGTGACCGTATTGGCGAAGAGTATATTCAAGATGGAGACGATGTCCTCCGCGATGTTCTCCTCTTCCCTCTTTTGAGTGCTTGTCTTGCTCCTCAATCGTCGTCCTCCGCTTATGCTGATATAAGTTTCTGATGCTGGCTTTGAGCATCAGCGGAGTACGAGTGCACCAGGATGAGTGCATGTTGGTCGTTTTTGCAGCGTGAGGGCAATGGGGGGGGGCCCTTCGGGGTGGGGAGGGGAGGAGGTCAGGATGAACGAGGTGAGAGATGGATCGGAGTGTTACCCCAGTCTAGTGTACGTCAAAGGGGTCCACGTATATTGGTTCATGCATGTGTGTCCCTCGATGCTGCCTTCGCATGCGGGCCACCGCGTTGTGATTTGCCCCCGCGTCGCCGCGCGCGTTGCCGCAGAGTCAAACGGTGTTCCTCTCTCTCGCTCTCCCTCTGTATTCCCCGTCCGTGTCCCTGGCGACTCCGCCCCAGATCCCTGCTCCTCCGTCTTAACTGTACCTCGCCCACTACAGCGATACTATGCTTGCGCCCCTCCTCTCGACGTTCCGTGCCGCCCTGGCTCTGGGAGGTGGGCACGAGCGGACAAGTGGCTCCTGCGTGCAAGTTGCCCAAGCTCGCCAAGAGCAAGGCAGACGCCAAGGTGATTGAGGCTCGCGGCAGGGACGGAGAGCGAATGGGAAAAGGACTCGCGGGGACCCGAGCCATGCATACACGCACACGGCATGTGTGTTTGGGTTCTGGAGTTTGAACTTAGCATGTCAACATGATGGTGACGCCACGGATGAGCTTTCACGCGAGTGGCTTTGGGAAGGTTTCATTTTTTCTCGCACAGGTCGTCCCTCTCTCGGAGATTAGTCTACGATGAGTCGTGCACGGGGCGGCGCATTCTGATTTGGAGGGCCCCATTTCGTTCTGGAGATGTTGAAGTCGTGTTGCGTCTGAAGTTTGGACCGAGGGGCTAGCAGGGAGGGAAACTCGGAAGCCGCAGGGGGCCGCACATACCATGTTCGTTGATTTGATTCCCATAGTGAAGCAAGGAGTCGTGCCATGTGCTTGCGTTGTGCTCAGCACGTACCTGTCAGCCTATTGGCCCAGTCGCATGCGGCAAGTCGGCCATTGTGCCAGCGCAGCACTCTTTGGGGCGATTCACTGGTGACCAGAGGACACACGTCTCATGCGACCAGGCAGCCTCTCTCTCTCTCTTTCTCTCCACCTGGAGGGATCTTGACAGGGGGGACAGCAGCTGTATGCGAAGCGGGGGGTACAAATCGACAGAAACTCAGCCAGGCAGACCTGGAGCATGATGGCCCTCCACTGCATGCCAGTGGGCACAGTGGCGCAGTGCACATGGCGCGTCCCCTGGTCTCCCAATCATGCAGATTCCGCCATCCCTGATCTTCATTCCTTCCCCCGATCGCCCCCATTGCTGGCAGGGGAGGTGAACCCTGGCGAAACCGACATGTCGAAGGATGCAGACCTCCTCCTACTAGGTGCGCGGCGGGTTGGAGATGCCCCTGGGAGTTGTGCAGTTGTTGTTTGCGGCAGGGCTGTGACATGATAGCACGTCCACTGTGCCCCATGACCCGTGCCACGTGCTCTCGGTTAACCACTTCGCCAATTCCCAGGCGTTCCCCTTACACCTCGGGACGGCAGCCCGGTGCCGAGGCACGGTCCTATCAGCCCCCTTGACCTTCATAGACCTGGCCACGCGGCCAGACGTACGGACGACTCTGCTGCGCCTCATTTCGCGGGGGCAGCGCACGGCGAGGGCGCTCTGTCGCCCGCGGCCCGCTCGTGGCCCGACGCCTCCGAGTTCCCGATTCCAGATTCTGCTCACGTGTCGTGCTTCTTGCCCGGCTGGAAGTCGAATGGTACACCCCACGCCTTGCACAGGACCGAGCAGCCGACGGGCATGCCCGCGGGGTTCGCTCGCTCGCTCGCTCCCCTGGCCGGGGTGGCGCGCGGAAGGCCACGGCGGTGGCTCGTGGGCCTCTCTCGTGGGGGTGGCGCGCGGCACGGCTCTGGCTCGGTGGCCCGTGGCGCTCTCGTGCGGGCGCTGCGTGGCCCGTCGCTTCCATGGCGAAGGTCACGATGACGGTGGCATTGACTGATGACTGACGACGACGACGACGACGACGACGACGACGACGACGACGACGACGACGACGACGACGACGATAACGACGGCGCCATCGTCATCGGGAGCCCGAGCGCGTGGCCGCGGGCCCCGCCCCGGCGGGCGCGCAGGGGAGCACGAGCCCCCGCGCTGTCAGCCAAGCCCCGCGCGGGCGAGGGACGCGAGCCTCACCCGCGCGGGACGCGGGCCCCCCTCCCCACCAACATCGAGCCGGGCGAAAGGGGGGGATTGGGAAAGGGGGGGGTACGAAATTTGCTGCATGCAGCTGGTTTCGGCCTCACCGAGGGGCCCATTCCTCGATGCATGGCCGCCTCCGGCGCCGGGAGGCGCCGTGAAAATCAGCTACGCGAGCTGATTCTCAAACCCCCCCTTTGCGATCCCCCCCTTTCGCCCGACCCGACAACAGGATCACGAGCCTGCGGGGAGAGCAATCGAACGGCGGATCCCCCACCAAACGGCCTAGCAGCGCAAGTCGGCGCCCCCCGGTCCAAGCACTGCTTCGGGACGGAAGCTGCGGCGTGTTGCTTCGAACGAGGCCGTCTCTGCCCCGCCGCTTTCGGGCTCGCCCTCTCGCCTGCGGAGCTTGAGAGGTCTTGGGACGAGGTAAGGAAGCACGTGACGTGCTACTGACAAACTGGCGGCACGTCAGCGACGTCGCGCGCAACTTTGACAAAACATGTTTTTTGTCCAAGCGAGGATTTAGAGCCACCGCGCAATCCGATGGCATCCGAGGAACGGCCCACCGCTCACTTCCACGACACATTCGCCAGTTGAGGGTATGATTTCTTGTTAGATGTTGTTTTATCCCTGTCCCTGCGAGGGGGGGTCTCCTAAGAAGGCGGCGGGGCTTCGTAGAAGGCAGGGGCCTTCTGAGAAGCTCCATGAGGCTTCTAAGAAAGAGGCGCCCCGGGGAGATTTGTCAAGAGGGGAGGCAAGGGCAAATCCGCTCAAAATCTGTCCCCAGACCCCATTATCCTCCTCCTCCTCCTCCTCCTCCTCCTCCTCCTCCTCCTCCTCCTCCTCCTCCTCCTCCTCCCGGGGTCGAAGCTGACATTTTCGTTGTCGAGCTGCGTCCAGCCGCGGAGGCGAGGGGACCCATGTCTCTCCCCCCCCTCCGGCTGACCAGAACCAGTGCTGGGCCACCTCAGCAGCCCCCCCACACCCCTCCGGGGGGGCAGGAGCAGCGGCAGGGGGAGGAGGAGGAAAGAGAACGGCAGAGAGGAGCAGCACAGAGAGCTGGAGAAAGAGGAAAGAGGCTCAGGAAGAGGAGGAGGAGGAGGAGGAGGAGGAGGAGGAGGAGGAAAGGGAGGAGGAGGAGGAGGAGGAGGAAGAGGAGGAGGAGGAGGAGGAAGAGGAGAAGGAGGAGGAGGAGGAGGAGAAGGTTCAGGAGGAGGAGGAGGAGGAGGAGGAGGAGGGGGAGGAGGAGGAGGAGGAGGAGGAGGAGGAGGAGGAGGAAGAAGAAGAGGAGGAGGAGGGGGATTCCCCACCAGTGCTACACGAGCGGTCGAGTCCTGAGCGACAGGCCGTGCTTCTGCAGAGCCCGGGGCGGGAGCCAGGACCCTCCGCGACCGTCCTGCCGGCGCTGGCAGGCTCCGGTCCGCCTTGCTCGCCGCGCCTCCCAGATGGGGTGGGAGGATCGCGCCGCATCGCCGATGCGTCGCCGATGCGTCGTCGATGCGGCTCGATGCACAGCCCGATTTTCTCCACGCCGACGGCGCTGGTGCATCGCCGACGTTTCCGATGCATCGGCGATGCGGCGCGATCCCCCGACCCCATGTACTCGGTCCCCATATGGGGGGCCTCCATCTCATCGCCATGAGGCGAACGGAGACCTGCTCGCGTCGTCAGAGCAAGAACAAGAGCAGACAAACAAACAAAAACAGACGGCGAGAGCTCTCTGCCAGTTTTCGGCCTCCGGGGGCCCTTGCCGGGCCCTGGGACCGTAAAAAACAGCTCGGGGTGAAACAAAAATGCCCTGCCCCTTATTGAAAAGCATCCAGACATCGGATGTCTGGGAACGGATCCTGAAAGAGATGGTCAGGAGAAAAAGAAGCACACAGACACAACGAATCGACGACTCCCAGGAAGATCTGGGAAAATGTTGAAAGTGGGGTGGAAGATGAAAAAGCCAGAAAATATAGGAAAACATGGGGAATCCTGGGATTTGTGTCTACTTGTGTTGTGTGTCCATGTGTCCCTTCAGATGGGTCCTGAGGTGTTTCGGAGTCCTTGGCCTTCCTGGGCCGTCCATGGGCCTTGGGCGTGTCAGAAAACGGAAAAGATGCAGAACTAGTCCTGGGGAGAGTCCCGGGGTCCACGACCCGTTTCCATCAGGACCCGTTTGTTTCGTGCAAATTTCTCCCACGGTCAAAGACGCCAAAAAGTCCCGGGGGCGTCCAAGAGGGGGGTGCGGACTCTGGGGGGGGGCATTTTGGCCAGGGCCAGTTGCACAAACAAGATTGCACGGCCCCCTCTATTTCTTCGTCCTAATATTATTCGTAATAGTATTGTTATTATGTTCAGTTTTTTATTGTTATATTATCATCGGCAGTATGACTCCTCTTCTTCGCGCTCTCCGTCGTAATCCTCTTAGTCGTGCTCGTACCATTGTTCTTACGCCTGTCCATACGTTCCCAATCCCCCCTCCCCGTCCGCGCCCCTGCTTCGGCCCCTGATGCGCTAAAGCCACCCTGTTCCTCGCCCCCCGCGCCGGCGCACCCGAAACCTACAACTGTTGGGTGCGGGAGGCGCTCTGGTTCTTGGCCGAGGCTCGCCGTGGTCACAGAGCTACCCCCTCGCTCCTCCTCATCCCCCTCGTCCTCCTCATCCACCTCGTCCTCCTCCTCCTCCTCCTCCTCCTCCTTCCTCCTTCTCCTCCTCCTCCTCCTCCTCCTCCTCCTCCTCCTCCTCCTCCTCCTCCTCCTCCTCCTCCCCCTCGTTCTTTTCCTCTTCCTCCTCCTCCTCCTCCTCCTCCTCCTCCTCCTCCTCCTCCTCCTCCATTCCTTCTCCTTATAGGTGATTCCTCCCTGTCGCACCCCGAGGCTAGTTTTTAGGGCGGGCCGGGCGTTTCGCTTTAGACTTCTTGACCATTTGTGATTCTGAAGCTTAAAAAGTGACAGCAGTTTCACAGATGCAGGGCGGGTGGTTTTCAAAATGGGGCTCTGGCCGTAGCGCCGCGCACATTCGTTTTAAACATGTGCAAGAGCTTCGCGGATTGAGGGCGGGTCGTTTTCAAAATGTGGATCTCGCCGTAGCGCCGCGCACAGTCGTTTCAAAAATTTGCATGCGTTTCACGGATTGAGGGCGGGTGGTTTTCAAAATGTGATTTTCGCCTTAGCGCCGCGCACATTCGTTCTAAATACGTGCAAGAGCTTCACGGATTAGGGCGGGTCGCTTTCAAAATGTGGTTTTCGCCTCAGCGCCGCGCACATTCGTTTAACAAAAATTGAAAGAGTTTCACGGCTTGAGGGCGGCTCCTTTTCAAAATGTGGCTCTCGCCTCTGCGCCGCGCACATTCGTTTTATACATGTGCAAGAGCTTCACGGATTGAAGTTTCCTGTTCAAAATGTGGCTCTCGCTTTTGCGCCGCGCACATTCGTTTAAACAAATTGCAAGAGCTTCACGGATTGAGGGCGGTTCCTTTTCAAAATGTGGCTCTCGCCTCAGCGCCGCGCACATTCGTCTAAACAAATTGCATGAGCTTCACGGATTCCCATGATCAACGGACCAGAAATAGTGTTTTGGAAGGGTTCAGGACTTTGCGGGCGCAGCAATTGTGTTGATTCGCTGTGATGAAGTCCCCAAAACGGCGTTCTGGCACGATTCTGGATCGTCAAGACGCAGCAGTCAGGTTGATACGTGCCGTTAAAATCCTGAGAACATTATTTTTGCACGTTTCTGGATCTTCAAGTTGTTGTCTTCCAACGAGGCAGTTCCCTCAAGGGGAATGAACCGTCGTAGAGGCCTATGAAGAGGGAGCTTGGAGGGAGGGTTCATTCCGACATCGTTGATGACTCTTGGGTTTCCACTGGTCCTCATCCTCCTCCTCGTCCTCCTCCTCCTCCTCATCCTCCGCCTCCCCCTCGTTGTCCTCCTCCTCCTCCTCCGAAAGAGGCCCCGTCGTTCCAACTTCTGGCACGAGGGCCGCACTGCTCCACGCAGCATCCTCCGCTCGGGCAGCGCCCTCGGGCCACGCCTCCTGGCTTTCCCGCTCGGTTGCCCCGATTCGGCCTCGGCGCCCCTGGTTCAGCAATGTCTCGCTCATTCTCTCTCTCTCTCTCTCTCTCTCTCTCTCTCTCTCTCTCTCTATATATATATATATATATATATATCACTCTCTGTCTCTGGCGTCTTTGGTGTTTTCTTGACGAGTCGGTTTGGCTTCTGGCCCCTTCGCCTCCCTCTGCGAGTGTCTCCACATGTTCCAGTTCCCCTCCTTCCTCCCCCCCCCTCCTCCCTCGTGTCCCTCATCGTTTCCCTGCTCCTCCTCTGCACTTTCTCTCCCTCGTCTGCCTCCTCCTCTTCTTGCTGGATATCCTCCTCTTCCATGTTCGCTCGTCTCCTCCTCCTCCTTCCTTTATCCACTCTCCGTCTTCCCTCCCTTCTCCCCTTCCTCTCCTGCCGTCTCATCTCCCCCCCCCCCCCTCCTCGTGCTTCTCTTGGTGCATCATGTCACCAGCCGTTGTTTCTTCCAAGCTGTTCCTTCGAAATTCGCCCGTTGCTTGTCAGGGAGGCCGGGGATGCACATCGTGCTCTCTCTCTCTCTCTCTCTCTTTTTCTCTCTCTCTCTCTCTCTCTCTCTGGGTTACGCATAATCACGGACAAGCAGGGAACGAGGTTTGGGGCAGCTTCGCAGCATCGTGCTTCCCCGTTGTTGCGTAGCGTCGCTCTCTCGTCGCTGGCGTCTCATCCGTTGCTCTCTGGTGCCCCTGTACCCCCCACAACCTGTCGCAAGACGCCGTCAAGCGGAAGATGGGCTTGCTGGAGATTGCCGACAGTTCGAATCAGGCCACAGCGCATTTGATTGTCTTCGTATGTTTGATCCGTGCTATGGTGTTTTGGTTGTTGGGGCATCGCGCACACTTGGCGAGGACTGACTATTTGCGCTGGCTCTCGGGTCGCGGGAATGTGTGCGCAGGTTGCAGATCTTGCAGAATGGATGTGTCACTCTGTGTGTGGAGCGCTGTCTCGCTTTTTGTTCCCCGAAGGGTGCTTGCCAAGAAACACCCCGCTTGCCTCCTGGGTGGGTGCCCTGGGTTTCTTGGGTTCCGATAGTTCCGCGGCAGAAGGCGTGGCGTTCCCGCCCCAAACATTCCGTGGACGTCCTGCGGTCTCCGGGTTGGGTTTCTTGTGGAGGGTCTCTTGTGGCCGGGCCATCATTGTAAGGTGTTCCCACCTCTGTGGCAAGGAGGAGGAGGATGAGGAGGACGAGGGGGACGGGGAGGAGGAGAAGGAGGAGGAGGAGAACGAGGGGGAGGAGGAGGACGAGGGGAAGGAGGAGGAGGAGGAGGAGGAGGAGGAGGAGAGGGAGGAGAAGCAGGACCAGTGGAAACCCAAGAGTCATCAACGATGTTGGAATTAACCCTCCCTCCAAGCTCCCTCTTCATAGGCCCCTACAGCGGTTCATTTCCATTGAGGGAACTGCCTCGGTGGAAGACAACTGTTTGAAGATCCTGAAGCATGCCAAAACATTGTTCTCTGGATTTCAACGCCACGTATCAACCTGGCTGCTGCGTTTTGCTGATCCAGAATCGTGCCATAACGCCATTTTTTTGATTTCAACACCGCGAAACAACATAACTGTTGCACCCGCATAACCCTGAATCCTTCAAAACATAGTGTTTGGTACGTTGATCTTGGGAACCCGTGAAGCTCATGCAATGTTTGAGGCCGAATGTGCGCGGCGCTAAGGCGAGAGCCACATTCTGAAAAGGAACCGCCCTCAATCCGTGAAACTCTTACAAATGTCCAAAAAGAATGCGCGCGGCGCTGAGGCGAGAGCCCCATTTTGAAAATGAACCAGCCTCAATCCGTGAAGCTCTTGCACATGTTTAAAACGAATGTGCACGGCGCTAAGGCGAGAGCCACATTCTGAAAACTACCTGCCCTCAACCCGTGAAACTCTTGCAAATGTTCAAAGTGAATGTGCGCGGCGCTAGGGCGAGAGCCACATTTTGAAAACCACCCGCCCTCAATCCGTGAAGCTCTTGCACATGTTAAGAACGAATGCGCACGGCGCTCAGGCGAGAGCCACATTCTGAAAATTACCGCCCTCAATCCGTGAAACTCTTGCAAATGTTCAAAGTGAATGTGCACGGCGCTAAGGCGAGAGCCACATTTTGAAAACCACCCGCCCTCAACCCGTGAAACTCTTGCAAATGTTCAAAGTGAATGTGCGCGGCGCTAGGGCGAGAGCCACATTTTGAATACCACCCGCCCTCAATCCGTGAAGCTCTTGCACATGTTCAAAACGAATGCGCGCGGCGCTAAGGCGAGAGCCACATTTTGAAAATTACCGGCCTCAATCCGTGAAATTCTTGCAAATGTTCAGAGCGAGTGTGCGCGGCGCTAAGGCGAGAGCCACATTTTGAAAACCTCCCGTCCTCAATCCGTGAAGCTCTTGCAAATGTTCAAAACGAATGTGCGCGGCGCTCAGGCGAGAGCCACATTTTGAAAACCACCCGCCCTCTTTAGAATCAGAAGTTGTGAGGATGTCTCAGGCGAAACGCCCGGCCCGCCCTAAGAATTGGCCTCGGGGTGCGACAGGGAGGATTTATCTATGAGGAGAAACTATGGGGGGGAGGAGGAGGAGGAGGAGGAGGAGGAGGAGGAGGAGGAGGAGGAGGAGGAGGAGGAGGAGGTGATGAGAAGGAGGCGGAGGAGTAGGAGGAGGAGGAGCTGGGAGCTGCGGGCTCTCAGTCTGGGGGGCGCCAGTGGGCCCCCCCTCTTGGGCAGGGGCGCCCCTCTGCCGGCGGGGAGCGCGCCGGGTCTGGGGCCTTTGCGGGGCGCCCGTGGCCGCCTGGTGGGCGCCTCGTGTTGCTCCGCGAGACAGCTGTCGGGCTTCGGGGCGGCCGCCGCAAGAAAATATCCCCAACAGGGGGGGGGGTCCAAAAAGGTCTCAAGTTTGAGCCGCGTTCGCAAGGGGCGCAGGCGCCGGCGGCGGTTCGATTTGGAGGCGCATGCTTCGGCGCGCGTTTGCGCGACGACGGCTCGAACGGCACGCGTTGCAAGGCCCGCGCGCAGGACGGCCAAGAAGGGAGGGGGGATGACCAGGGGGAGGGGAGGATATCAATCAGGAGGGGGGAAAAGCACACAGACACAATGAATCGTCGACTCCCAGGGAGAGATTGGAAAATATAGGAAGTGGGGGGAAGACGAAAATCCAGAAAATATTGAAAAATATGGGGAATCCTGGGATTTGTGTGTATTTATGCGTGTGTCCGTGGGCCCCTTCGATCATGGCGGGGGCCATGGTATCTCTCCCCGTTTCGCGGCGCCGCTTCTCATCTCAAGACGTCCCCCCCCCCTGGGCAGCGCGCGTGCCTCGGGCCATGATTTGGACGCCCCCCTCTTGGACGCCCCTCTCCTGGACGCCCCCTCCTGGACGCCCCCGAGGGTTGGGAGGGTGGGGCTGGGAGGAAGGGTCAGATCATCCGTACCGTCGCGTATGCTGAACGGGCTTATTCCGCACTCGTGCCCCGTGTCCTCCCAGCCCCTCCCTCCCAGCACGCTGAGTGCCTGTCCCAGTTGGCCGGGAATTTTCGGTGTTCGGAAGGTGGGCGCCCGCTGCCGCCTCGTTGGGCGCCTCGTGCCGGCTGGGAGTTCTCTCGGCTTTTCGCTCGGTGGGCGCCTCTCGGCCGTTCGTGGGCGCCTCGAGCGCTGCCTCGCCGATTGCGCGACGTAAAGCGCACGCTTCAGCTTCCAACATGCAGCTTGCACTGCATAGCGTGCACCACACAGATTGCACAATTTAGGCTTCCCTGCTCATAAGAAGAATAGGCTATGACCATCATCATCAGCATCAGCATCATCATGATCACCATCATCCTCATCATCAGCAGCATCATCATCACCATCATCCTCATCATCAGCAGCATCGTCAGCCTCATCATCAGCAGCAGCAACATCATCATCATCATCGCCACCATAATCGCTAGTACCATCATCGTTGCCGACGGTGCCGACGTCATGATGATACCGAGACTGCCCGGGTAACTGGCCCGCACTGAAGCGCCCGCGCGTCAGCACGGTTTTGAGACGAGCTTTGCAGTCCCCACCAGTAAGAGCCATCGCGGCCGCATTAGTTGTGCCAGGGTTCGCGCGCGAGCGTGTGCGCGCCAGCGCGGCCACACAGTGGCGATAGCAAGTGCCAATCGGCAACCCGCAATCGTGGCCGCATGGGTTTTGCCAAACCAGATGCGGGTGTGAGGGTGATTTCGCGAGCAGTGGACTGGACAACACATGAGTTGACAATTTCATCGCAGCACATAGATTGCACGACATGTGTTGCACCGCATAGCTTGCGGATCCAGGGCGCAAATAGGAATTCGGTTGCTGTGGCCGAGACTCAGCCCATCTCGGGTTGCGAGTCTTTGGGCCTGGAAACAGCGCGGCCGCAATTCCTTTGCATGGTGTATTGTTGCATGGCTGGCTCATTCTGATATTGTGACACGTGTTGCACTCTTTTCAGGACCAGCTTTTGTGGTGGACTGTGCCTCGGCAGCAGCCCGCTTACGCGTGTCTCCTTGCCTCCGCTGCATTTGTCCTGATGCACTGCCTTCACGTCCTTGTCTATTTCTGTGCCACACAAATGTGCCGGGCATTCGCTACTGATGGCTCTCCGCTCCGAAGCTGCTACTTGGCGTCAGGGCAGCGCTCATGACGCCGATCCTGAGCGCTCCTCCGCGGCTCGCCACCGCATGGTTGGGAAGCGGTCTGCTGAAGAGCACGGGAGCAAAAAGTCCGAATGTTTGGAGCGCGCAGCCCTCAACAGCGCGGGCACTGCAGTGCTGCGGAGGGGGCATGACGGAAAGGGTGGAGAGCGAATGGCATATCGTGGCCTGCACGTGCGCCAGCGAGTGGTTGGCTCATCCGTAGGGAGGCGTCACTGCGCGAATGGTTGTACGGACTTCCCGCGTTGATGCATATAGTTATAGTGATTGTTCTGGTCATCCTCCCCCTCATGCCCCCCGTCCTCATCAGTTTTACTACACCTTCTCCCTTAAAAACTCGTTCCCAGATTTTCCTCGGGGGTGCGCTCTGGCCAAAAAAATCCCAGGGGGGGGTCTGGCCGTGGCGGTGAGAAGCATCCCGGAGGACTAGCGATCCTCCAGCCTCTTCCTCATACTCCTCGCCCGCCTCCTCCTCCAAGACCCACCCTATTCCTGCCTCTCCGCTTTCTCCTCCTCCTTCGCCTCCTGCTCCTCCTCCTCCTCCTCCTCCTCCTCTTCCTCCTCCTCCTCCTCCTCCTCCTCCTCCTCCTCCTCCTCCATGTCCTCCATGTCCTCCTCCTGCTGCTCCTCCTCCTCCTCCTCCTCCTCCTCCTCCTCCTCCTCCTCCTCCGTGGGCCCACTGTCGGTGCCCAGCGGAGGCGTTCCATGTGGGTCTGAGCAGGATTGCTATCACGCAAGAAGCAGAGCTACGATGAGGTGGAGCTCCCTTTAGGCGAGAGGCTGAACATGAAGTGGTTGCCCCGGGGGCCGTCATGGAGTTGATCAGGAGTGCGCGCAGAAGGCTTCTGGCGTGTGCGAGCTTGCCCGATTCCGTGGTGAAGGCGCTTAGGCAGCTCCGCTGAATTCGATGCCGACGGCAAGGCTGCTCGCCCGACGTGGCGACGATGAGGAGGAGTGGGGCGCGTCCCATAAGCGCGCCCTCGGGAGCCTGATCGGGGGATCACATTGGACTCAAGCCAGGCTCTGCGACGCTGGCAAGGCGGACGACGACAGGTGCAAGATCTGCCGTACGGCGCGAGGAGCCCTGTGGCATCGCTATTTCGCCTGCGACGGCACGGTGTTGCGCAGGAGGAACCGATGCCCGCCCGAGCTCGTAGAAGCTGCAAGGGTCGCGCGGTCGCGCGGCGAGGCGGCGGGGGAGCTCTTCGCGAGATCTCTGCCGCCGAGCTCTGCGCAGTGCTTCCCAAGGGCGGAGGCCCCCGAGAGCGCCCAGCTGGTGTGGCACATCAGGCCAGAAAGGAGGCCACTTCACAGAGGTCGTCTTCGTCGACGGCAGCGCTTACGACGTCGAGGACAACGCGCTGCGCCGCGCAGCTAGGCTCAATGATGAGGGAGGTCACATTTGCCGCCAATGGAGTGGTACCTCTGTCCGAGGGCCCCCTCCAGAAAGCGCGGGACGGAGAGGACTTTTCCTTCGTGCGCCGGGGACCGGGCTCCGGCCATCAGGGACGCGAACGTCCGCCGCCATTTGTGGCCAGCCTGGTGGACTAAGATGGTGGACAAAGATGGTGGACCAGGACGTGGAGGTGGTCAAGGTGAAGGCCCACTTGGCTGAGGAGGCAGCCAGGACCCCGCTGGACAGCTGGAAATGGGCGGGCAATGGCATCGCCGACAGCATGGCAAAGCGAGGCGCGAAACTTTGGCAGGTGCCCGTTGAAGCAAGATTGTTCGCTGCTGCGTGTATGCGGCGCGCCAAGCAGCTTAATCAGCGGGTGGCTGGGCGTCGCGCAGGTCTACATTCAGAGGCACGAGCTGCGCGGCCACGAGGGGCTGTGGATGGGGCCCGTGCTGAGGCAGCCTGGCAAAAGCCGCCAGGAGGAGCAGGAGGGCGAATAGGCTACGCCGCTGGGACAAGAGGAGGGCGATGATGAGGTAGAGGTGCCAGCGGGGGATGCGGCGAGGAGGGCGCGGACGTCACACAGACCACGTGCAG